TTTACTTACAATGAAAAATAATTGTCTTCCAATGAGAATTGGACCCTTTAATATTGTTTTTCTGATAATGACAAACATTTTTATTTTTTTATTAAAAAAAATGTTTATTTAATTAAAATTCAATCCCGTATTATTTTTATTACTACAACCATTGTTTACATGATTCTTTATGTTTTTTATTATTGTAGATTATGTAAAAGCAATATTATATAAATAAAAAACCAAACGGTCCGGTTTACCCCAGGGGGTGGAGCAAACCGGACCGTTTGCAAAATTTTTCAAAGTTAACCCACCAACTAAACAATACAAGATAAAATATATGTGTCTCTGGGAAAAACTTGCGCAATTAAATGATCTTTCAAACAAGCCATCGAAAAATTAAATCGGTTGATTCGTTTAGTCACAAGAGTCAAAAAACCGTTAGGGGGTCCGGTTTGCCCCACTCTCCCCTAAATAACTAAAATAATGATTGCCTTTCATTGTTAATAGCTTCTACAACAAAAAGGAATTCTAAAAACTTTATTAAAAAAAAATTTTAATAGGGAAAACTGTCGAGGCCCCGACCAGAACCCTGTTTTAAATAGGGCAAATTGGGGCATTTTCTGCACGGGTATTTAAACATAAGTGATCTTAGTCAACCATAATCGACCATACTTAACCCTATTTGGTCATAATTGATCTTAGTTAAGAATAGTTAACCCTAGTTGACCATAATTACCATTGTTGACCATAATCGACCATAGTTACCATAGTTGACCATTATCGACCATAGTTAACTCTAATTGACCATAGTTGACCATAGTTACCATAGATGACTATAACTGACCATAGATTTCCATAGTTGATCATAATCGACAACAGTTAACCCTAGTTAACTATAATTGATCTTAGTTAACCATAGTTAACCCTAGTTGACCACAATTACTATATTTTACCATAATCGACTACAGTTACTATAGTTGACCATAACTGACCATAGTTGACCATAATTGACCATAGTTAACCATAATTGATCATTGATACCATGGTTAACTATAGTTAACTATATTTGACTATAGTTAAGCATAGTGGACCATAGTTAACTCTAGGTGACCATAATTATTGACAATAGATACCGTGGTCAATCACAGTTGCCCATAGTGGACCATAGTTGATCATAGGTGTCCATAGTTGACCATAGTTGTCCATAATCGACCATTGTTAACTCTAGTTGACCATACTTAACCCTAGTTGACCATGATTGACCATTATTGACCATATAGTAGTTAACGGCAATAGCTATAAAAAATAATAATTGTTTCTGTGGGATTGTGAGGATTGTGTGACACAATTAATTTCTCAAATTAATAACAACATTTATTTAATCAATAACAGAATTACATACACAAAATAAGAAAGATAGTGAAATGTTAAGGTTTCGATTACGAAATAAAAGATACGAAATTACTCGCGGAATTTCTCGTTAACGTAGGTGCTTGTCGAAATGCTCTCAAAATTGAACTGAACTTTACACAGAAGATCGATGCTTCTTATACAAGAAAGTACATTAAAAACCTATTAAAAGTAATTAAAAATGCATTTCTATGTCTAGACTAATATGACGTAAAGATTAATTCTAAACACGTAATTCAAAGGTAAAGTTGGAGACAGAGAGTCGGACTTAGGGGCATGACAAAGCTAGAACGTTAAAAACTCATTAGACACAAGGAAAAGGGCCAGACAAGACCTAAGCGTTAAACCCGAATTGCGAAAAAGTAGAATAAGTGTAGAAAATTCCTATTTCATTATTTCATTAAAAATATTTGAAAATTATATAAAAATATTGTAGAGAACGCTACAGTACCCCCTGCTAGTGGTTAACGATTATGAGAAACCACCTTGCAGGCGGTCAGGGAAGCGTACACGTCTTCCAGATCTTGTAGAGTGTGGTACCAAAACTTCCTCTCGTTCTGGTGGTGGTAACTGCTCCGTGGGTGCAGCCTCCTGGCTGCTGGTATCGGGAGATGATTGGATGTTGGCCTCAGGATCACCAGCCAAAATATAAGCTGGTTTCAGACGGTCTATCGAGATATTAACGTCACGACCGTTGATGTTGACGAGGAAGGTTTTCTCGAACCTTCTGATGACCTTGTAGGGACCGTCGTAGGGCTGCTGAAGTGGTTGCTTAGGAGAATCGTGTCTTACCAGGACTTGCTCAGTTGTCGCAAGGTCCTTGAAGACAAAGGTTCTCCTAATTCCATGGCGAGATCCTCCAGTAGGCTTGATGTTCCGTAGCTGTTGTTGAAGACCCACAACAAAATCAGCTGGAACGGGAGAGTTGTCGAAGCTGCTGCTGTTATTGTCCCCCAGGAATTCACCAGGGAGGCGAAGAGACTGACCATACACTAAGTCAGCTGATGTTGCTTCGATGTCGTCCTTCCAAGCTGCTCTAATTCCAAGCAGCACAGTTGGTAGCACTTCCGTCCATCGGTTGGTTCGATGGCACATGATTGCTGCTTTCAGCTGACGGTGGAGTCGTTCTACCATTCCATTGGCAGATGGATGATAAGCAGTCGTGCGAAGATGAGTTGTACCTAATAAGCGATTGAGTTGCTTAAATAAGTACGACTTAAACTGACGTCCTTGGTCGGTGGTGATCCTCAGCGGAGTTCCAAATCGAGCAACCCAGGTGTTGTAGAATGCTCGAGCAACAGTTTCAGCTTCCTGATTTTCCATTGGTACTGCTTCAGGCCACCTAGTGAATCGGTCAACCATGGTGAGGCAGTAACGATGTCCCTCAGATGATGGCATGATGACGATGTCCAGGTGGACATGCTCGAATCGTGATGACGGTGGTGAAAAGTTGCCTATTGGAGATAGGACATGGCGTGAGACTTTCGACTTTTGACAGTTGATACAGCTGCGAGCCCAATTCCTGCAATCAGATTTAATCGACGGCCATACGTAACGCTGTGTTACGAGCTTGACCGTAGATTTAACTCCAGGATGAGAGAGGTTGTGGATGCTGTTGAAGGCTGCTTTCCGGAATTTTTCTGTGATGTAGGGTCGTGCTGACCTAGTGGATACGTCACAGAAAATCGAGACATCTGCATCAGGAATCCGGATCAGCTTCAGTTGTAGGGAAGATTCTGCATCTTCCAGGATTGTCTTTAGCTCCATGTCGTCACGCTGAGCGGCTGCTAGGGCATCGTAGTCCAGGATTGTTTCAATTGTAGAGATGCGTGACAGAGCATCTGCTACAACATTGTCCTCTCCTGAGATGTGACGGATGTCGGTTGAGAATTGACTGATGAATTCCAGATGGCGAAACTGACGTGGAGAACACTGATCATTCTTCTTCTGGAACGCATAGGTGATGGGCTTGTGATCAGTGTAGATGGTGAATGATCGTCCTTCGACCATATGTCGGAATTGTTTGATGGCCAAGTAGATCACCAGGAGCTCACGGTCATACGCTCCATACTTCGTCTCAGCAGGACTCAACTTCTTGGAGAAGAAGTTCAAGGGCTGCCAGCTGCCATCGACCAGTTGTTGTAAGGAGGCTCCTACAGCGAAGTCGGAGGCGTCGCAGAAGATGGCCAGTGGTGCATCAGCATCAGGATGAGCAAGCAAGGTTGCCTCAGCGAGACCCTCTTTGCTCGCTTCGAACGCCTGGATGGAATCTGGAGTCCAGGAAACTGGAGCTTTTCCCTTCAAGTTTCCCTGCAGCAGATTGTTGAGCGGTGCCTGGACCTTGGCAACATTCGGAAGGAATCGTCTGTAAAAATTAAGCATTCCGAGGAACTTACGAAGCTGCTTAACTGTTTCCGGGCGTGTGTAGGTACGGATGGCATCAACTTTGTCCGGCAGGGGCTTGGTTCCGGCAGCAGAAACTAGGTACCCAAGGAATTTGACCTCAGATTGACCAAATAAACATTTGGCTGGGATGATGATCACTCCGTATTTCTTGAGTCTCTCGAAGATGATCTCCAGGTGCTGCAGATGCTCCTCAGGTGTCGCAGATGCTATCAGGATGTCGTCAATGTAGACGTAGCAGAAGTCCAATCCTTGGAGCACTTCATCCATGAAGCGTTGGAACGTCTGCGCAGCATTCCGCAAACCGAAGGTCATAAAGTTGAACTCGAAGAGTCCAAAAGGTGTGGTGATGGCTGTCTTCGGAATATCCTCGTCGGCGACCGGGATCTGGTTGAAGGCTCGAACAAGATCTATGGTGGAAAATATGGTCTTACCATGTAGAGCATGTGAGAAGTCCTGGATGTGCCTCATCGGATACCTATCAGGGTAGGTCCTCGCGTTGAGAGCACGATAGTCGCCACACGGCCTCCACTCGTCCCCCTTCTTCGGGACCATGTGCAGTGGTGATGACCAGGAAGCCTTGGATGGTTGAGCAATCCCCAGCTTGACAAGTGTGGCAAAATCAGCCTTGGCAATCTTCAGTTTGTCCGGAGCAAGTCGTCGTGGCTTCTGCGCCACAGGTGGTCCAGGAGTTGTCAGGATGTGATGTCTCGTTGAGTGCTGGACAGTCCGAGTTGTTCCATCCGGACGAGTTATTTCCGAGAACCGCTGCAGAAGCTCGTGGAAACGTGATGACCCAGTGATGGTCTTGATGCTGGAAACCTCGCACTCAATCACCTCGCCCTGGGAGGTAAGATGAGTGACTTGGTCGAGAAGCCGTTGTTTCTGCAGGTCCACCAGGAGTCCGTAATGTGCCAGGAAGTCAGCACCGATGATCGGTTTCTCCACGTCGGCGACGACAAATCTCCATGTAAATTGGCGACGCAAACCAAAATTTAAATTTAAAATTTGCGTTCCGTAAGTTGCGATAAGTGTCCCGTTAGCCGCGAAAAGTTCGTAAGTTGATTTCTCACGAGGTTGAGGAAGTTGCACACGCGGAAAGACACACAGATCAGCACCTGTGTCGACGAGGAACCTTATCCTTGAAGATTCGTCTGTTAAAAATAGTCGGCGCGATTTACCGGGAGAGATGTCGTTGGCCGACATTAACGACTTCCCGACTCGTTTTCCGCACTAGAGAATTTGCAAGGTTTCTCACATTTTTTAGCGTCTTTCCCGAATTTCCAATGATACCAACACATATCACTGGATCGTTGATGTCGATTTCGAGAGTGTGATCGAGATCGAAATTGTGATCTTGAGTGAGAGCGATCTCGTCCTCGCGACACTTGGTTCACTTCCAAGGAGGCAAACTTCTGGAGCACTAGCGCGAGAGACTGTTCAAGGCTGGCAAACCGGGCCTCAAACGATGTTCCCGTAGTGGAACTTGTTGTTGCGGCCGAAACAGCTGTACGTGTTTCCGCAACGTTGCACAAGCTTCCGTAAGCTTCCGCGACAGAGTCGGCGATCTCAGCTCGTTTGTCCAAGGGAAGGTCCCTGTGTGCTGCAAGCATGGCCTGCATGTGTTTTGGTAAACGGCCGAGCCAAAGGGTCTGCAAAACATCATCGGGGAAATTACTTCCCGCCAGGTTGCGAAGATGGCGTAAAAACTGCGTTGGTTTTCTGTCACCGAGAGGTTCGTTTTCCAGGAGACGTCGCGTGTTTTGTTCCTGTGAAGTTCCCATTCGGTTGATGAGTTCCTTTTTGAGAAGTTCAAAAGTCCGCTCAGCTTTCGGTTTGAGCAACACGTCACGGATTTCCACGGAATATCGCGGGTCTAAAGCACTGAGCGCGTGACCGAATTTTGTTGCATCCTGAGTAATTCCAGCTGCATCAAAACTACTTTCGAGCAACAAAAACCACAATTCAGGATCCTCAGGCATGAATATTGGCACTTTAACTGCTATTCTTTCGATATTTTCGTTGCTCACTGTAACATTTGTCATTTTGACTTGTTAGAAGAAAAAAAAATGAATGTCAAAAAATGAGAAAGAATGTCAAAAATTGTCACAAACTCTCAGTGTCACGAGTAAATTTTTCACTTTGTCGACTATTTTCGTATCACTTGATTGTCACTTGACCGTCACTTTGTTGTCACTTTTTATCACTTAATTGTCACTCTGTTGTCACTTGATGGTCGCTTTGTTGTCACTTAATTGCCACTTTGTTTTCACTTGGTTGTCACTTTGTTGGCACTTGATGGTCGCCTTGATGTCACTTAATTGTCACTTTGTCCCACGAAAAAATACTTTAAAATCACGTCGGGGTCACCAATTTGTGGGATTGTTAGGATTGTGTGACACAATTAATTTCTCAAATTAATAACAACATTTATTTAATCAATAACAGAATTACATACACAAAATAAGAAAGATAGTGAAATGTTAAGGTTTCGATTACGAAATAAAAGATACGAAATTACTCGCGGAATTTCTCGTTAACGTAGGTGCTTGTCGAAATGCTCTCAAAATTGAACTGAACTTTACACAGAAGATCGATGCTTCTTATACAAGAAAGTACATTAAAAACCTATTAAAAGTAATTAAAAATGCATTTCTATGTCTAGACTAATATGACGTAAAGATTAATTCTAAACACGTAATTCAAAGGTAAAGTTGGAGACAGAGAGTCGGACTTAGGGGCATGACAAAGCTAGAACGTTAAAAACTCATTAGACACAAGGAAAAGGGCCAGACAAGACCTAAGCGTAAAACCCGAATTGCGAAAAAGTAGAATAAGTGTAGAAAATTCCTATTTCATTATTTCATTAAAAATATTTGAAAATTATATAAAAATATTCTAGAGAACGCTACATTTCTGTTATTAATCTGCCTATTTATTGATGAAAATATATATATTCTAAGAATTAAAAAAAAGACGAAGGGTAAGTAAAGAAATAAATATTTAATATATTGTTGAAGAGTAAACCGACAGATTAGCTCGGTCGAATGGATGCCTGACTCGGTGGGCGGACCAAGGGTACTTGGTTCGCGCCCATTACCCTGGGATTTTTCCGGCACGTGAGATAATCTGAGCGGGAGGTTTGACGTCGAAGTATAATGATGTGCACCGTCGATTATTGTCCGGTACACACCATAAGAACTCGACTGTCGATAAACCGGTTGTACTCGGAGAGGTTTTCTAAAGTTTCCCTCTCCACTGGCGAGAAAACCCATTAGACGGGTGGTCCAGGCAAATGCGAGTACTCCTAATTTCAAGTCGTTCTGTAGACGCAAAAATTTAGTATATATAAGGGCGAATCCACGGAACCGTGCGATTTAAACATAAAAATATAAATATTTTTAAATTACAAGCACACTTTTTATTTTTAGATATATATGTTCGAAATTTATTCAAGAACAAAATTTTCTGTGCGTGAATCATTTTTATTTACTGCTGAAAGCATTGTAATTAAAAAAGTATATTGAAATTTTGATTGGCAAGATGTCATTTTTGAACTGAAAAAACAAATGAAGACAACTGAAATATGTATAATAATCAATTATATTCTAGTCGATTTTTCTAAGTAGAAAGTTTTTACAAATGTTTTTACCTATTTTTATTTATTTCTTATAATTTACTTCAATAGGAATGATTGTTTATTTGTATATTTATTTTATATTTCTTTTACGAGTTTTAAAGTGCAAACAATAAAAATATAACGTATTTAACCATTCAAAATCTTTATTTTCATAAAATATTCTTAACATTTTACTTTTGGGTAAGACTCCGTCAGAAAAAAAGCGATTTGCAAGTGGTCTTCCGATTTCTTCGAAATCTTGGGAAATAGAAGTCTTATATGAATTAAATTTAACCCTAAAAGGATTTTGAAAAATTTTCAAAATGGCGGCCGCTACGCCATATTGAAAATGAATGTTGCGTTTTTTTTCAAAAATTAATAACTCTGAAACTTTTTGATCGATTTTAATAAAATTTACAGGCGATATAGTTAAAAATACGTAGTTTAATTTGATATTATGAACAAAAAAAAAAAATTTCCAAAATTTGTCAAAAAAAAAGTCAAAAAAATTTTTTGAATTAATTTTTAGTTCAGTTGGCCTAATTTTTGAATTTTCTAATAAGTAAATATCGATTCCTTGTAATTTCACCTTTCATTTCATAAAGAAAAATTTATGGAGACTCTAATAGTTCTCGAGATATTGCGACTTTAGTGGGAGCGCGTACCGCGGAATTAAACTCCGTAGCGAGGCGGAATATGAAGCGAGCGTACAAACGTGCACAATAGGGTGTCCGTAACAATTAATTTTCAAAATTTTGGATCCAATATGGCAGGTTCAAAATTTTAATTTTCTACATTTTCGAAGTAAATATTCTAAAACAACGTCAAGGGCGATATTTGGAAGCGCTATTTACGAATCTAATGTTAAAAATTTATTTTTTAAATTACCGAATCTAATATAGCATGGCGGATTCAAATTTTTTTTTTAAATATTCCTTTAATAATCGATTTTTAAGAGCAGAGGTATAAAAAGTTAAATTTCTATAAAAGAGTTTCTAAAACATCCCAATAATTATTTTTTGTAAATATTATTCTATAAATTAATATTTAGACTATTTACTTAAAAATGTAGAAAACCATAATTTTGAATCCGTCATAGTGGATCGAATAATTTGAAAAATAAAATTTTAACATTAGATTCGTACACTCAGAAAAAAATTTGTTCGAATCAACCAAATTTTGGTTGAATCAACCAAATAAATGCATTGCTATACAGTCAACCAAACGTTTGTTTGATTCAACCAAAAAATTTCTTCCAATACGTTTATTTGTATTAACCAAATGCTTATTACACTTAACCAAAAAATTTTATTTAATATAACTAAAAAATTTGTTTATTTCAGGAGAAAAGATTTGTTTGATTCAAATAAATAGTTTTAGTAAACGTATTTGGTTCATTTAAATAAATATTTTTGTTTACTTAATTTTGTTATTTATTTTCCTCTAATAATATTTGAATTTCCTAATTTAATATTTTCTAGTACGTATTATTGGTTAATTTATAATTTATTATATAATTATTGATATTTTAAAATTATACATATAATAAATTATAAATTAACTAATAATATGTATACTAGAAAATATTAAATTAGGAAACTCAAACATTATTAGAGGAAAATAAGTAACAATTAAGTAAAATATTATATATGTATTTCTTCATATAAACAAAATTACTTAATTATAAAAAAACATTTGAAATATTACATTAAACATATTATAATTATGATTTTTATACGTGCACTCAGAAAAAAGTTTATTCGAAACAACAAACTGAAAACTTCACAAAACCTTTTTGTAAATATTCTTCTCACTGGTACAAATTAAATATGCAGTAAGTCAATGAACACAATGTATTTAATATTTATTTAACCGACACTTATAATTTTTTTTCTTTGATTTACCGATTTAACAAATAAATATGACGCGAACGCGGACTGTAGACAAGTGAGATCGCAATTTTTAAATTCACACATGTACTTTTTGAGACAAGCAAATATGTTTGTTTGACTCAAATAAAATGATTTGGTTGAATCAAACAAATTTGTGTGTTGTGTCGAACAAACTGTATTTAACTAAACAATATTCTCTATTCAAAACACAAATTTGGTTAAATGAAACAAACAACTTCAAATAAAAAATTTCTTTCCAATAACCAAACAAATTTTACGTATTTATTAAAATAAACCAAATTTTTATTTAAATCAACAAAATTGTTTTATCGTGACAAATAAAATAGGTTAATTAAACAGTTTGGTTAAGTGAAATAAACTTTTTCTCTGAGTGTAAATAGCGCTTCCAAAAATCGCCCTTGACGTTGTTTTAGAATTTTTACTTTAAAAATGTAGAAAATCAAAATTTTGAACCCGCCATATTGGATCGAAAATTTGGAAAAATTAATTTCTGATATCAGATACATGATGAACGATCGAAAATAGCCCCGAGTAAGTAATTTTTTTGAATTTTTGACAACACTTATGTGTTAAAACCTTGGATATATTGTGGTGCATTTTTATGACCCACTTTAATCATCCGCCATTTTAAAAATTTTTCAAAATTAAATTTTTGGCAAAGTGCTATCTTATAGTGCAGCTAAAAATGAAGGCAAATGTGACCTGGAGAATTTTTTGCATGAAAATTAAAAAAGTTATGAATTATTTTTAAAAAGTGCATTTTTCCTATGTATTTTTAATGGGAAATTTCGATGGATCTCTGGCACGTGTTAATATTAATCAATCGGCTTCAAATTTTAGGAAATTTTTTTTTATTTTATTGGAACTAAACTGGGGGGTGGCGTAAACAAAATTCGAAAGTCGCATTGTTACGGACACCCTATTGTGCACGTTTGTACGCTCGCTTCATATTCCGCCTCGCTACGGAGTTTAATTCCGCGGTACGCGCTCCCACTAAAGTCGCAATATCTCGAGAACTATTAGAGTCTCCATAAATTTTTTTTTATGAAATGAAAGGTGAAATTACAAGGAATCGATATTTACTTATTAGAAAATTCAAAAATTAGGCCAACTGAACTAAAAATTAATTCATAAAATTTTATTGACTTTTTTTTTGACAAATTTTGAAAATTTTTTTTGTTCATAATATCAAATTAAACTACGTATTTTTAACTATATCACCTGTAAATTTTATAAAAATCGATCAAAAAGTTTCAGAGTTATTAATTTTTGAAAAAAACGCAACACTCATTTTCAGTATGGCGTAGCGGCCGCCATTTTGAAAATTTTTCAAAATCCTGTTAGGGTTAAATTTAATTCATATAAGACTTCTATTTCCCAAGGTTTCGAAGAAATCGGAAGACCACTTGCAAATCGCTTTTTTTCTGACGGAGTCTTACCCTTTTTAAAACTTTTTTAAATTGAAAATCAAAAGATTATTTGCTTACCATTGTGAAAAATATTTTCTAACCCG